GTGCACATATATCACTGTGGTATGATTCTTTTAATTCTTTGGGGAAGATCCCCAGCAGTGGAATAGCGGGGTCAAATGGGACTTCCAGTCCTATGAACTGATTTTTTGACAAGGTAAAAGAAGTTTTTTCAACAAATGATAGTGAGACAACAGGACAACCACATACATAAGAATGAAGTTGGAGCTGTACTTCATGTCACCTACAAAAATTAATTCAAAATGTGTCCCAAAGACCTACATGTAAGGAATAAATGTATAAAATTCTTAGAAGAAAATATCAAGATAAATCTTCATGACTCATATTTGGTAATGAATTCCTAACAAAAACACAAGCAGAAAAAACAAACGAACAAAAAAAAACTGCACAAGCAGCAAAATAAAAATAGATAAATTAGACTTCATCAAAATGAGCAATTTCCTATGCTTTCTATATCCTTTTAAATTCTGTAAAATCTGTGGTAATGTCTCCTAGGTCTTGATATTTTAATTTTAAAAATGTATAACTGATATTGTGTAATAGGAAGTAAAGGTCTAAAGGAGCAGGGGAAGTGGGAAGGGTAGGGGAAAGGAAAGAAGGGAAAAGAAAAAATATGAGAAAAGGAAAAAAATGGAAACAAAATCTTTGCAAATAGGGAAGGGTGGAGGGGGTAAAGGGAGGGCAGGGGAAGGGGAAAGAAAATAAGAACCAAGAGAGTCATGTAAAGGTACAAGATCCCAAATGATGAATGTAACTGTATTGTATACCTAAAATGTACCGATAAACTTAATGGGGGGGGGAGGAACAAACAAACAAAACAGCACAGGAAAGCCACAATAATCTTAGGTTTCAGATGATGAATGAACTCTGGTGACTGGAAGGAAACCAAACTACTGTAATTGAAAGACATTTTAAAAGAGTACAGAATAGAACTGTAAGGCCTATCTTATTTGGTTAACAGATGTGAAGTACTACATTGAGCTGAGATGAAAAAAACCCTAGGTTTGAGCTATTAAGGATAACAGAGAGAAAGTACTTGAGCCCATTTCAAGTGAAGCTGGAAAAATGAGTTTTGCTTGTGATATGTTATGCTTGTAATAACTAATGCAAACATTTGTGATATATCCTGTAAGCAATTATAAATGTGAATCTGGACATACTTGATTCAAGACCTAAAGAGTGATTTGAAGCAACCTTGACAAAGAAAATGATAGTTAAAGCAAATTGTTTTGAAGTGACTTATTTCACCAAGAAGAGAATTAAGCATAGAACCAAACATTGAAGCAGAATAAAAAAGACATAGGAAGGAGACAAGAAAATGAAGGATGACTGAAAGAATATAGCTCCCGGATTGCTAGCTATCAGCAGGTAGATAGCAAATTTTATGTAACTTTTAAATCCTCTCTAGAAACCCTTTAAAAGTAGCCTGTAGCTAGTCATAGTGGCACACATCTGTAATCCCAGAACTCTGGAGGCTGAGGCAAGATAATTTCAAGTTCCCAGCCAACTTGGACTGTATAGTGAGTTCAAGGCTAACCTGGACTACATAGTGAAACCTTGTCTTAATAAACAAAATAAAACAACAAAAAACAAACAAACAAATAAGCCCAGAAATTTTGGTTTTTTTCATAGAAATAAGAAGAGTGCTTTTAAATATTTTCTTTATTAATATCTACTTGTATGTGAAAATAAAGTATGCAATTCAGTGAAAAAAAAAAAAAGAGCAATTTCCATGCTTCAAAAAACACCATTAGAAGCATAGGGGAGGGGCCGGGGATTTAGCTCAGTGGTTTTGCCGCCTGCTGCGCAGACACAAGGACCGAGTTTGATCCCCAGTACCAAAAAAAAAAAAAGAAGCATAGGGGTGAGGAGGTAGCTTAGTGGTAGATGCTTGCCCAGCATGCACAAGGCTCTAGTTTCAATCCTTAGTAATGGAGGGAAGGAAGGAAGGAAGGAGAGAAAGAGAAAAAGAAAGAGAGAAAGAGACAGACATTGTTCCATTCCCACAGATTTGGAGAAAATATTTTCAAATCATATATTTGATATGAGAATTGTATCCAGAATACAGAAGAACTCTTACAACTCAATGATAAGTACTCCAATTTTAAAATGGTCAAAAAGCTTGAGTCAGGTGTAGGGGCACATACTAGTAATACCAGCATTCAGGAGGCAGAGGCACAGGGACTGCCATGAGTTCAAAGCCAGCCTGAACTACAAAGTGAGACCTTGGCTCAAACAATAAATAAAATAAAATGAGCAAAGGAACTGAATAGCTGTTTCTCCAAAGAAAATATGTAAATGGCCAAGACTAGATGAAAAGATGTACAATATCATTAGTCAACAGGGAAATGCAAAACAAACCACTTTACAAAATGAATACCATTTTCCACTCAATAGAATGACTATAATCAAATAATGTGGTAATAACAAGAAGGTGGAGGGTCGGGGATTTAGCTCAGTGGTTCCAAGCACAAGGTCCCAAGTTCGATCCCTGGTACAAAAAAAAAAAAAAAAACGTGGAGAAATTGGTACTTTTTGCACTTGCACTGCTGGTAGTAATGTATATTGGTACAGTTACTTTGGAAAACTGTCTGAAATTTCATGTTTAAATGTAAAGTTACTAAATGACCCAGAAATTCCACTCCTACATATATATCCAATGAAACTGTAAACCTCACAAAAACTTCGACATGCGTGTTCACAGCAGCATTATTCATGCCAAAAAGCAGAAGACCCTCAAATGTCCATGAGTTGATGAATAAACAAAATCCACACAACATTATTTGGCCACATAAAGGAATAAAGTACTGATACAAGCTACAACAAGCATGTACCTTGAGAACATTACGGTGAGTCAAAGAAGCAAAAACAAAAAGACTACATTTTTTTAAGACCTCATTTAAATGAACTATCCAAAACAGGCAGATCTATAGAGAGTAGAAAATATCCATGGTTGTTTAGGGACGAGCAATTTAGGAGACAATGGAGAACGACTGCTAACAGGTACAGGGTTTCTTCGGGGGATTAGTGAAAATGTTCTACATTGCGGTGATGACTATAACTCTATGGACATATTAAAACCATCGAGAAAAGGAGAATAAACGGAAACAAAACTTTTGTAAATAGGGAGGTGAGAGGGGTGGAAGGGAGGGAAGGGAAATGGGAAAAACAAGAACCAAGATATATCATGTACAGGTATAAATTCCCTGTGATGAATGTGATCATAATGTATACCTAAAATGTACCAATAAACTTAATGAATAAAAAAATAAAAAATAGGGCCAGGGATGTAGCTCAGCAGTGCAGTGCATGCCTGGCAAGTGCAAGGCCCTGAGTTCAATTCCTGGTACCAAAGAAAGAAAGAAAAATGAATAAATAAATAATGCACACAAAACCATTTAAACATACCTGTTAAATGGGCATACTGTATGGCATGTAAATTATATTTCAAAAGGATGCTAAAAAAATTCTATAACATAAACAGCACAGTACAACTAATAAGACACTCACCTCTCTCTCCATTTCGTCCTCCTCTTCTAAAAGATCATATACCTGCTCTAAAAGCTGAACCCCGAGGCCCTGGATGACATCAGCTCTCAAGACTTCAAGTATTCTCTTGATCTTTTCAGAACCTGGCATGACAGCTAAAAAACAGTAACAAAAACAGGGAAAATAAACATTTTCAACAGCACAATATTTTTTTTTTAACAGCACAATATTTTTAAAACTGTTTTTTTAAAATCTTGATAGATTTGGTTTAAATATATATATATATATATATATATATATAAAATATGTATGTCTTTTAAAAATTTATCTTGGGATCTTTCCTTTTCTTTTTTGTGGTGCTGGAGATCAAACCAGGACTTTGCATATGCTAGGCAAGTACTCTTATCACTGAGCTTTATCCCCAGTCTAATATTTTAATGACTAAAATTTATGTGAAGCTTCATGTCTCACTATTAGCTCCTAAATTTAAACCATCTCCTAAAAACAAGTCTAACTTGAAGAAAATTCACTGAAAAAATCCTAATCACGTTATACAATTTTATTTACATTTATCTTTAAAAATTAATATTCATGAAAATTTTCAGAACCTATCTGTTGCATAAAATAATATATATCTTTTCTATTAGCTCCTTGATTTGACATGTCTCCAATAAATACATTTTCTAGTTTGCTGTAAAAGACTAAACCAATCACCTGAAGGCAGTTCTTTAAAACGCAGTTCCTCTGACTCTTCTGCAACTTTTCCATGAAGTACCAGCGTGTCCCGATACTTCCGATGAAGTCTGAATTCTGCCCCCGGAGTTGGTACTGGGAGATCTTCACAGCTCTCTTTTGAGTCCAGTTTAAGGGTTTGAGTCATTAATTGCATCAAGTCACTTATTTCATTTGTATGACTTTTCCTGGAAAGAAAAATTCCTCCTGTTATTTAGTTGGCTTCACAAAAATTCTTCATTTAAAATTAAATGCAGGGTTTGGGATGTAGCTCACTGGCAGAGTGCTTGCACTTACAAAGCCCTGGGTTTGATCTCCAGTAGACAAACACACACACACACACACACACACACACACACACACGCAAAATGACCTTTAGGAAATGCTGTTTCCAAATGTCCGTGTAAGCCGACTAATACACAAATAACAACCATAAACACTATGCAAAATACAAAAACTACAAAATCAACTATGTGAAGGCAATGAAGAATGAAAAAATCAAGGTAGATTCTGGAACATCAACACTTTTTAGCTTAAGGTCAGGCTGAAGGTAACTCAAAGCACAAGAAAAAACCCACAGTCTGTCTGGCCTGCAGAACCAAAGACAGAGTTCAGGACAACTATTGCCAATAGAAAGTGAGAGAGAAATCTTTAAAAGAAGAGGGCCTAAAAAAAGCAGCCTCAGATTCTTTGTACAAATCCTGCCCGATCATTCTAAGTAACTTAACTATATCCAAATACAAAGCTCAAAAATATTTTTAAAAACACAGAAATACCAGCCTCCAGTGAGATAAAATTCACAGGGTCTGGCATCCAGTCAAAAATTACCAGAGACACAAAGAAGCAGGAAAACATCATCAATTTGTAAAGAGAAAAACTCAGTTAATAGAAATAGACCCAAAGGAAAACAAGTGATAAAATTAGTAGATAAGGACATTAAAATGGTTACTATAAATGTATTTCATATGGCCATGATAGAGAAACACATGAACTGGTTAATGAGAGGGATGAAAAATGTAAAGAAGACCCAAATTCTTCCTAAAAATGGAAAATATAATTATGTTAACTACATGAAATAGGATAAACAGAATAAACACTACAAAAGAAAAATTTGTGAGCTCAAAAATACATCAACAGAATCTATGAAAAATGAAACAAAGAAAAAAAAAGTAAAAAGAATGAACAGAAATCAGGGGTGTGCATGCCTGTAATCTCAGCACTCCCGGAGAATGAGGCAAGAAGATCATCCCAAGTTTGAGCTTCTCCCGGACAACTTAGCAACTTAATGAGATGTCTCAAAATAAAAAATACAAAAGGACAGGGGATATAGCTCTAGGCAAAGAATCAACCCCAAGTACCCTAAAAAGAGAAAGAATGAACAGAGCATCAGTGAGGTTTGGACAGCTTTAAGCAGTCTAATACACATTTAACCAGAAACGCCAAGAGGGCAAGAGGAATGGCCAACCAATTTCCCATAACAGATGTATTTATTATGTATCACAAACACACACTAACAAAAACAGTCAAACTTTTCCAAATCTAATTAAAACTATAAAACCAGATGTGTTCATTGAAGAGATATTTGTAGTGTAATATGTACCATAAAACATTTATAATATCAGTGTGAGTACTACAGGTCAGAATACTGCTACAAATGTACATTTAGGATCAACTCAAACAAATAGTTTCTGAAGGGAACGAGAAAAATAAGAACTTACCCATCTCTGGAATCCCCATCTGATTTATCAGTTGAACTGGTAGAAGAACTTAGCTCATCCTCAGACAGACAATTAATCAGTTTCCTTTCCTATTAATGTTTAAAAAAACAAAATTCCACAGGACAACACAACTAGAATGTAATAGTTTTGCTAGTCTTAAATCCAATTAAAACACAATGTACACCTACATGCAATTTAACAGGAGAAACTAATAGATATAAAAATTAAAGTCTATCCAATGATGTCCCAGTTCACTCATGAAGTTCACAAGTGAAGCCTAAGAAATACTAACATAAAGTTTTACATGGCCCTGGAGAATCTCAGCTGTGAATCATCTAGGAGACAGTACATAATTAGTTCCAGTGTTTCAATTCACAGGAAGAGGGCTTGTTCCATAAGGAATACTGGCATTTTAAACTAGACAGATGCCACCTAGAGGCAATTTCACTCTGTTCATATATAAAACTCCTACAGGGCTTTAAAGGGTTACTTGCTATAATTAACACAAATGTCACAACTTTAGGAAATGGAGATGGCAGCCTAAATTAGTAAAATACATAAATTATACTGTTAAAGAAAGACCTTCATTACTTTCACAGGGCAGAAAAATTAATCCCCAGGGTATTTATTATACAGAGAGAGTTGAACATGGCTTAGAAACACTGCAATCATACTAGATGGTGTGTCTACATCATCCATAGACAAGAAGGTAAACTGACACAAACAGGAGATAATTAGCAAAAGAGATTAAAATCTGGCCTCATAGATGCGTATACTAGTAACACAGCAGAATAAGCAAAATGTTGCATAGTGAAAGCTTTTAGGCAATCTTGTTTTAAAGATTACCTGAGAAAGAGTCTTAAGTAGACTGCCAATTATTTAAAAGAATTTCTGAAAAATTTATGCCCTTAATGGGTCAAACATTATCCTTTCAATTATTATTTACCAGCTCCTTTCTTTATCAAGAGTGAAGATGTGTAGCTTAGCCAGCCTCTGTTTCTGAAATAAATGGAGCTGGCTTGTACAAAGGGTTATTGTATTAGGCTGAAGGATGCAGACATAGCCACCCTTTCCCTTTGGGTAATGCACCTGAGTTATGCTGTAGTCAGAAGAGAACCGTCGGGCAGGGAGGGAATGGCCTTCCTCCTGCAGTTTCCCCGGTCCCACTGCACTCAGAGAAGTTCTCCTCACTGAAGGGCCTAAAAAAACAACACACCCCAGTCGTTACTTGTGGTGGGCTGGTCTTAACTGAAGAGGGCTTTGGTAGGAATAGACGATACCCCAGGCAAAGGCCAGCCAGAAGTTACTCAAACATCTTCATCATCACTCTGGTGTCTGACACCTCAGTTCAAATCTTAGCTCTGGGTCTACCACTTCTGCAATCTTGGGTAAGTTACCTAACCCCTCAGAACCTCAGTTTTTTCCCCAGCAGAAAGGGAATACGTGGCTCACCTTTGGCAGTTACTATAAATAGGAGATAATGCCCTGAAGATGTTTACCGAAAGATGTTTAGCAGCTACAGAAACATAATATTACCGAAACATAATATTAGCAGCTATAGTAATACTATGTTTAAATCAAGGTAATAGAAATGAGCACAGCCCTCAGCACAGGGCAACACCATTCCCCTGGCTTCCTCTCTGTTCCTGTGGACACATCCCACCAGCAGACTGGATGTGGAAACAAGCTAAACATTTACTTGATTTCCAGCCTGAAATCTCCCAGGAGTTATTGTCACTCAAAGGCAGCACTTTTTTTGATGCCCTCTTTCTCTGATGATGTATATTTCAGGTTCAATAGGCCACGCTGATTTTTTTTAAAAAAAGACTTGTCTAAGAAATTGATTGACTGACTGATTGGTTGGTTGAGATAGGATTTCGCTATGTAGTTCAGGCTGGCCTTGAACTATCTAGGTAGCCCAGGCTGACCTCAAACTCCTGCCTCAGCCTCCCTGTGCTGGGACTACAGGCGTGCACCACCACGCCTGACCATCTAAGGAATGTTAAAACTCTTCTAAATCTATTTCCCAAATGGATTACTTGATCCTAGAAACCCAAAAGAAGAACAAAATCCTATAGGCAGTTAGAGAAAAGAAACAAATCACCTACAAAGGAAAGCCCATCAGAATCACAGGAGACTTCTCAACACAAACCTTCAAATCAAGGAAAGCCTGGACTGAAGTATTTCAAGCCCTAAAAGAAAATAACTTTCAACCTAGACTGTTGTATCCTGCAAAATTATCTTTCAAAATCGATGGGGAAATTAGATACTTTCACAACAAAGAACATCTGAGAAATTTCACGAACACCAAACCAGCATTCCAAACAATTCTAAGCAAT